GAGGAAGTGGCTTAAGCTTCGTAGTGCAGTGCTTTAACCCGCTGCGCCACCAGGGAGGGCCCGGCCCAGTGCTTTTTATATTCATGTTTGGATTTACTAATATGGCCCTGTGGACTCTCTAAAGAATCTCTAAGCAGACTTTATACTTAAATGATCAGAATCACAAGACAGGACAATATTCATTTCTTTTACTATTTCCCAGAGTTAAATAATTGTTAAAAAATCTCAGACTGGTGGCTCTTTCTGTTTGAAATAGCTTGTTCAAAGTCAGACAAATGATCTTGGGCATTCTGCCAAAGGCCTTTCATACATCTTGCAGGCCAACTCTTAACTAATTTGCAGGGTCAACAGGTACCAAAACTTCAATAGGCAAAGCGCCATTTAGGAAGAATGGAAGGAAGGGTCGAAGTGTTAATTTGACACTAGCAACAGAGACAGACATAGGAAGTGGTTTGAAGGGTTTTATTTAATTTTTTTTAAAGATTTATTTATTTGTACATACAGAACTGGGATACAGGCCAGAAGTGTAAGGGCGGTGAGAGGATTCACCATAGACAGAGTGGGGATCAGAACAGGCCGACCGACAAAGTATACTGCTGAGGGGAGCAGTGGGTGGTCAGGTGAGATCTGCAGCGCCATGTGAATCACATCCAGGTGGGGACTGAACTCATGCTGAAGTGGCTTTAGCTTCTTAGTGCTGTGCTTTAACCTGCTGCACCACCAGGGAGCGCCTGATGGATTTTATTTTATAAGGAGGAACTATAATGGGACTAGACTGGACATCAGAAGACTCAGTCTTACTCTAAAGAAATCATATGAAAGACTTGGTCTCAGTGTTTTCCTCAGGGGGGAAATAAATAATACAACTGACAGCTCCTGGGGAGACAAATGGCTATGAGCTAAATCTTGACTTATCTTCTTTTATATTTCAGGAGTTCCACTGAGATTATGTGTAATGAGTAGATGCCAGTGTAAGATAAATGTAAAGACTTCTCACTTCAAATGTTTCCTACATTCTTTTGTATTCTAAAATTCATACACACCAAATAGAATAACCTGTAGAGTTATATGTAGTTCCCATGAGTCTTAGTAGTTTTCATTATATCCATTCAACACATTTTTATGACTTTGCACAATATTTGATTTTTCAAACCATTCAGGCCAATCACATGAATGAAAATCTCTTAATTTGAGTCCATGGATAAATTTCTGTGAACCCCCCTAACAGCTAGACAAACGTTATGAATAGGAACATTCAAAAGAGAGTACAAAACTTTCATAAGATTCTCAACTGACATTAAAAACAGTAAAAGGCGAAGCTGTCCTCCACTTAATGGGATCAGGAAAGTCCAAATCTTGAGCAGACAGTGAGAGAAATTCAAATCTATTTTACAGTCTACAATGAAAATGACTCCCTCAGTCCCCAATACAACCACAGCCCCTTCCTAAATCATTGCCAGGATGCACTCATAACATTATGAGTAGGTGAAGGCATCAGTAGGGTCTTTGGTGGTGGTACAACATTCACTTTGTATTTCCGCTACCTGATATTAAAAGAAGCCGAGATTAAATTCATTGTTCCACAAGCCAAACTTGCAGAACTGACATGTTTTTATTAAATTGAAAAATCGAAAGGACCCAACAGTGTATTCTTCATTTTCTAAAACTGTTATTAACCCGGAGTTCTAGATGACTCACAGGTCTGAAGGTAAGTTCTTTTTAGGGGATGTATTATAGAGTAAGCAGGAAGAATAAAAATAAAGGAAAACATAAATGTTTGCTCATTCAGTAATATCATTTGCAAGATAGTGGTTAGGGAACACTTGGATTTTTCTGAGTACATTTTCCCTTCTGCTTGTATTAAATATTTCTGTAATTCTTAATATATATTTCATAGAATCTATTTCCATGGGCTGTTTTTTTTTTCCTAAAGATTTATTTATTTATGCATACAAGAACTGGGGTACAGGCCACAGGTATGGAGGGGAGAGAAGAGGATTCACCGGAGACAGAGTGGGGAGCAGAACAGGTGGATATACTGAAATACACTACTGAGGGGGGAGTAGTGGGCGGGACAGGAGGTCTGGCTGGGGATCTAACTCAAGCTGCAGTGGCTGTGGATAGCTTCACAGTGCTGTGTCTTAATCCCTTGCACCACCAGGGGAGCCCTGCATGGTCTTTTGATATATGGTTTAAGGGTATAACTCTAAGGGGGAAATGGAGTATGATTTCAGATGGTCAGCAGGAAATGGTTATGAACACAGATGAGGTTATAAAAGAACAATAATATCAGAAACCTCCGGACCCACTGAGCCCAGCAAGGGATTGTATATAGTCTGTGACCCCCTAGCAGGACAAAGCAGGATCTTGGGACAGTTATCCATAGTGTGCTTGCCTAAAAAAAACAAAGCTGCTTTCATAAACTGTATGCTAACTCAGACACTGTATACGGGCTAGAGAAACAACAGGACATGCAAAACAAGACAAAAAACAATAACTACTCTAGAATTGGAAGTTGATGTGAGATACTGTGAGAATTTCCAGAATGTAACACTTCTGCTGTGCTTTTATTTCAGATGCTGCACAACAAACACGTGATGGTCCGTGTGGGCGGAGGATGGGAGACTTTTGCAGGGTATTTGTTGAAACATGACCCCTGCCGGATGCTGCAGATCTCCCGTGTGGATGGCAAAACATCACCCATCCAGACCAAATCTCCCACCCTGAAGGACATGAATCCAGATAATTACCTGGTGGTCTCTGCCAATTATAAGGCTAAGAAAGAGATTAAATGAATTTAGTTGGTCACTATAAGGGGACTCTCTTAATGGCCTGTGTCCAGTTCTCCTGACAAATGCAAAAAGGTCATCATATTGAAAAGTGTTCAAAGAGTAGCACTATTTATTTTTAATGCTTCTGTTGCTAATGACCTATTAAAAGGCATTCTAAGGTCAGATTTAAATTAGAAAAAAATTATAGGCAAATTATTTCTCGACATAGGAACACAGTATTTAGAACACAATATTAGAAACACAATTCTGGCTAGCGACACAACTATTAACTAGAAAATAGTTAGGGTTTACAGATAAGTCAACAGAAAGTGCCTGGTTTTTGTCTACAGAGTAAAAGCAGCCCACATATTTTATAATTGCCAGGTTTTTGAGCTAAAAAATTTTAAAGAGTGACAGTAAATGTGACCATGTGCTACTAATATACCCAACAGCACTATAGAGTACAGAGCATTCCCAATAGTAATTATTTACTGAAAAGGCCACTTCAGAAAAGTTTACATTTACTTGGAAGATTGCCTTAAAGTTTGTTCCTTATCTCTGACCAAGTATCTGGGGTACTTTGGGAAGTTTTCAGTCTACCCCTTAGAGAATCGTGTCTGAATTGTTTCATACATTCCCAAGCATCAGAGCACCCGGCTGTGTTGTGACTGACTTAAGAGTAATTCATACACATAAGCTGACATTACTTTATATTTTGACAAAGTAAATTGTACAGTCAAATGTTCATTGACTTCATGTTATTTCAAAGCATTTTCTTATTAAAATATATCTTTAGTTAATCCTACTTTGCTATGCTATCTAGTAAAGTAAGTTGACTATAGCTAATGATGTTACAGAAGACCCTTGTATACCCTTGTATACTAGGACAGGGCTGTTTTGTACCAATGAACAGCAAAATAGTGTCCTCACTGATTCAAGCATTAAAGAAATTAAACAAAATGGATTTGTCTCTATATCATTACTTCATTCTGAAATAAACTTCATTTTTAAGTGGCCATTTTCCCTGAGAGTTGTAAGAATAATAAAGGTTTAGTTACCCAGTACCTTTCATTTTGAGCAGCTGAGCACTGGGGGGTCATAGGACCTTCAGCAAAGTACAGGCAGAGTTAATTTATCTTTCTTCTTTTTTCAACGATAAGAAATTCCCCTTTCTCACTCCAGAAAATTGAGAGCGAGTTTGTCACATGATTGATTTGGTCAAAGTAGTTCATAGGATCCGCAAACCTGCATACTCTAAATAGGTTCTACCATCTGCAACATAAAGACAAAGCAGACTTTTAAAGGACTTTAAAGGGCTCCCTCTGGTGGCACAGCGGGTTAAAGCACAGCACCACAAAGCTATCACAGCCCCTGCAGCATGAGTTCAATCCCCTGCCAGGGAGGTGACCCGCATGGCTTGGCAGACCTCTCCTGACCCACCCACTGCTCCCCTCAGCAATGTATTTTAGTAGATCTGCCTGTTCTGCTCCCCATTCTGTCTCTGGTGAATCCTCTTAACCCCTGTACCTCTGATCTGTACCCCAGTTCTGTGTACAGAGAAAGAAGAAAAGAAAGGACAATTTCTCAATTCATTGGGGAAAACTTTCCCAATACAACACACAAAGTTACCCATCCCTTCCCGGCTAAATGCCCAGCCGAACAGTGCTGACTCAAAGCAGGACTGTGGAAGTTCAAGTGCTTGCCACAAGTCTAAGGGACTAACACATTTGGAGAAGATGGTTTAAACCTGTGTCTTTCTGTCTAGACAGCAACTTGAAACTCAACACGCAACAAGTCAGACATGTTGCTTTAGCAGTATATAATAAAAGTACGGCATTTGGGTCAAGTAATTTATGAATACTCAATTCTTAGGCCATAGTGATCTTTTTTAGAGGCAACATTTGCAAGGTGAAACCTACCTACAAGTGGAAGTGTAAAATCATGTCATAAAGAAATTTAAGTGTTTGAGTCGTTGGGACACAAACTTGTGTTAATCCAAAATTTCTTCAGTGTTTACTCCATAAATGTCTTGTGTCAGTCACTTTCAAGAAAAATCATAGAAAATGGCCACAGCACATCTGAATTAAATGAAAGCATATAGTCGTGGGTATTTGAGAGACTCATGGGTATTTGCGATGCTTGCCTGCAGAAAATGTCAAAAGAATACAACTCTAATCTTAAGACAGATATGCATGCATATTTACCCACCTTTTCCCCACCTACTTATGCAACTGATAAATTTATTTTTTCTTTTAAGAGGGTAGTGTAATTCTTAAGAGTGAAAATCATTTAAATGGTTAAGGGGGGGGAGTCAAATTTTTCTTGGGTCCAAATACGACAGCTAGAATCTTTATTACAAAATTTGTTCTGAAAGAAAAATGACACAAATACTATCATTTCTTCCTTAGGATATATGAAAAGAAGCAGGCACACTAAAAATTTAGAGAATGTATGGACATATCAAAGGGTCTCCAGTTCTTGCCTCACCCCAAAAGAGATGAAAGTGTTGCTGGGATTTGCCTAGCAACTAGCCCAGATTCTAGATAACAACAAAATTCTAGATGTTTAATAGAGATGACCAAACCCAAATTCTATATAAGAAAAATGTATATTTATATCCTCATCCGGCAGTACAGAATTTTTAACAAAACATGTATGGGAAATATTAATAACAATGTAATACAACTAGTGGAACAATGGTATCACAGAGATGTTTAAAAAAACATGCTGCATGTCAACACAGTGGCTGTGTAACAGTACACAACTTTTTGTTATCAGCCATATTGTTTGATTAGACCTAACAAGCAATGATTTAAATATTTTGCATCTTACCATGATAGTTTTATCTATGCATTTTATTATTTCAGTTATAGTTTAGCAATTTGCTTGAGTAATATACTAAGCATTATATTTTTCTTTTAAAATGATGAATTATGCTAAATTGGTTCCAAGTTAATGTTTTCACCAGGAGCTGATCATTTTATGAGCGGTATATGTGTATATTTGTGTACATTGTTTTTCTCTTGTCACTTACTGGTTTCCCATCAGACACATCTGCTCTCTCTCTTCTCTTTCCCTCCCTAACACTATCCCTAACATTTCTGTGTCACCCTTTAGCCCACACAACCCATGGGGCTGTGATGAGGAAGGAAACTGATCACACCCATGTGGGCAGGCCATGGCTGGCTGGATTTGCATATTTCCATCCCTGGAAAGCAATACACCAGCATATTATTCATGACTCAACAATAAATAAGCATGGCATCTGGATATAAATTGCTACTAGAAATAGGGCAGTATTCCCTGATGTAAACCTTTTGTTTACATCAACCCAAGTAGTAATTCTTTAGCATGCTGTACAGATAAGATTATCCTTTCTATATTACAACAGAAGGAAGGAATTTCACACTTCATGGATGATATGCTCTGGTTTCATTACCATCCAGCAATTAGTGTATCCAATTTTCTTTCTGCCTTGAAAAAATTAATCATGTTCATAAAGTAATTTTTTTCTTCTAAAATACAACTCAATGGCCTCACCATCCTATATGAAAATATCATTAATCCCATAAAGGATGAAAACAATTAAGATTAATTATGTGCCTTGTCTGATATTCTTAGAATATTTCATGCTATAATAGAAAAAGTAATTTTTACAATGAGGAATTAAGACACCTACATTATAGTTTAAACTCTTAAAATTTACATATACAACATACCGCAATGTAGCATGTCTGTGGGAGGAAAGAATGAGACATTGGCTCAGTTTCCTTTCTGTAAATCAAATGAACTAGACTATTTAATTTACAGTCCCTATTGGCACTTCGTATCTGCAACTTCTATTTAGACTTCAGATTACTGTCTCGCCATTCCAAAGAATTAGCAATCTGTAATACTAATGTAAAGATAAAGCAATTCTTCTATTTAGTTAATTATACATTAAAAGGAAAAACTCAAAAAACACAAATGCTACCAAAAACTCTCATCACTAGTGAACAAAAATATAAAAAGTTTATGACTATGCATCATATGGAATCATCTCATAATATTTTTGTTTAAAGTAGACCTTTCTGAACACAGTACTACAAGTTTTTCTTCCACACTTCATCTCTACAGTGGCAATTTCACATCTGCATAAATCTGCTCATTCTTCAGTAAATAAAAAAAGAATTAAAATAGCTATACAATTTGGAAAAATACATCACCACTGATAATCCATTCAGAGTCTATGGTTAGTTCATTCAATTACCTGGAGGAGCTTTCTGGTTTGACAGTGTACAACAGAGCATCACTGCCCTCTGATGGACCATGAACATTTAATTTGAGAAAAAAAAAAAAAGAAGAAGAACTTATTCTAATGTAAAACACACCATGTACATTTCATAAGATCAGAAATGGAAAATAAATTAGGAGAAATTAAGCATTTTTTACAAATACTGATTAGTTACTAAGTTATAAAAATTCATAATGTTCCTCCACATAAGCCCTTCAAGTGTTTTTTTAAAGATTTTCCCTGATGATCAGTTAAAGGCACCAAGTCCATAGTTTAAGTCTTTCACATACAATGAAATAAACATATAAGGGCAAACGACATAATTATAAATCTCTGAATTATTTTATAAAGGGGGCCATACGATTTAAAATACTAATTTTGAGATATATGCAGATGTTTTACAGGCAATGCTTTACATTGATGTTTTAACTGCCAAAAATGGGAAATTGCCCACCATCTGCAGAAGAGCAAATATAGGAAAATACATATTTAATGAAAGATCTGGTATTTTTCTAAGTTTGAAAATCAAAAGCATTTTCAATAGTTTAATATTGAAAAAGCACTGCATTCATGGATACTAATATTAGAAGGTCTGAATCTTCATTTATTCAAAAACAAGATATTCAATTAAGGATGTCCACTTGATTGCAGATATTAGTTGTTGGCAGTAGACTCTTGCACTCATCTTGTACTTTATGAAACTGTCCACTAGAAAAGATGAAAATATACAGATAAAAATAAATATTATTTAAAGTTATGGTACAGTATATTAGTGAATTAAAGCATACAGAGAGGAATACAGAATACACGAATGTAAAATTATTTTGGATAAAAACAGAAACTAGGCCCTTCCTGGTGAAGCAATGGGCTAGGATGTAGCACTGAAAGCTCGCCACAGCCTCTCCAGTGGAGTTCGATCCCCAACCCCGGAGGATCCACAGGCTCAGCAGAGCACTCCTGTGTCACCCGCTGCTCTCCTCAGTAGTATACTTTGTCAGTCAGCCTGTTTTGCTCCGTCTCTGGGGGTGCTCTCACTGCCCCTGCCCCTCTGGCCTGTACCCCAGTTCTGTATGCACAAATAAATAAATCTTTAAAAAAAAAACCAGAAACTAGTAAAATTTCACACTCTCATCAAAAATCTAAAATAAGATAATATGATGACAACTGTAAAGAAGTAAAACAATGTATCTGGGCCAATTAGTGGGTGGCTGCATGCCAAATATCTAATAATTAGTAAAGTAAAAAACAAAACAAAAAACCCCACAAAACAAAAACCACAATGAAGCTACAAAACAAAAATGTAAAAATTATTATCTGTGGTAGAAAGCTAAGATATAGTAGAAATTATTAAATAATTCTATGGCAGTCTTTCCCTTGCATGACTTAAGAAACTGTTCCATTTGTTGTTCTGTCTAATTGAGTCTATTAAAAAGTACATTGTGAGAGAACTACTGAGATCAGACCAGAGAACTAGTGATATTTTCCAAATACATCTAAGTAGTATAACTGGGTATTAAAATCTGCATACAGAACTGGGGTACAGGCCAGAGGTGCAGGGGTGGTGAGAGGATTCACCAGAGACAGAGTGGGGATCAGAATAGGCCGCCTGACGAAGTC